TATATATATATATATATATATACCCATGATGCGAAAGTCTTGGCATCTTGCTCTTCATGACCAAGTGAACCAGGCTGTGTTTGGCTACAAGTAAAATACCTGCAAAATTTACCCCAACCACATTTATGATTCTACATAAACATAAAACTTTAAAGAGATGACAAACAATATATATGGTATATATGATTAAATCATGTACCCAGCATCTGAATAAATGCCAAGCTTGAGACCCTTTCCATGAACATAATCTGCTAGAGCTTTGATGCCAGAAGGATATTTGGTTTTATGTGCTACCAAATTACCCTGTCATATATATACTTTTTGGATCAAATACTTCGTTAATTCAATGAAATAATTTTAATTTGATTTCAAAAGAAGTAGAAACAGAACATATAATATAATAAAAATATATTTCATACATCGTCATCCCGAGCTATTTCGCCCCAGCAATCATCTGCGAAGAATTATGGATCATGATTAATTGAAGTTCATATCTCATATTGCTAAGTAAAAAGAAGTGGAAATTTTTTTTTAAAAAAAAAATAGCAAGACTTGAAGAAGAATTGGTTTTTAATGTACCTATGTTAACATAAATGTACCCGAGCTTGGAAAGGCCGGTAGAAACAAGGGCATCAGCTGTAAAACCATATGAAATTTTTTGCAGTTAGGACTGTAATGTTAAATATATTAGATACATGCTGTTGCATTATGCAGATTTTGTAATATTACAATTAGTAACTTAGATTAAGAATTTTGGTTTATTTTTTTTTCAATAATAGAAAATGAATTTGTATAATACTAACATCAATGTTATTACATGAAAAGAATTAATTTTATGAAACTGAATTAAAATTCTAAAACCTATAGTGTAACATTGCAACTTTATATTAAATTATAATTTTAATAAGACTTAATTATGTTTTTAGTCTTTTAAATTTAGAATGTATTTTTTTAGTATTCCAAATTTAACTTCTTCTTTTTCTTTTTTTTTTGTCAAAATTTAGGTCTTTAGACATAAACAATGTTACAAATATATGTGTAGAAAAAGAATTACATGTATTTATTAACCAGTATTCCCTTATTCACATAAGCAATGTTTGTAACGTAGTCTTTTAAATTTGATCTGTTTACTTCTTTGGTGTTCCAAATGCATTATTTGTTTTTTTTCAAAATGACCAAAAATATTATTGTTTTAGTCCTCAAAAGTCAAAACTAAACAATGTTAAGTATATATGTGAAAAACGAGTGACAAGTATTTATTGACCAGTAATCTGTTATCCACATAAGCAACATTTGTAACGTTATTTGAGTTCACAGACTGAAACAATGATTTTTGATATTTAAGAAATTAAAAATACAAATTTTAATTTAAACGAAAAAAATATATATCCAAATTTAAAAACACTAAAAATATAATTAACTGGTGTCCGCATATAGTAACATATCTACAATTGCAAAATTAATATAAGTTTGTTATCGTGTTACACAATTTAAATGTTTTGTAAGTAGGATTGCATGACACAGCCACAAAAGCCTATAAATGGTGAGATATATACCTGTTTCTCGAATGGTTGTTTCGTTATGTCCACAGTAAAAATGATTCCAGCTATTCCACCTGTAAAAAAACGAAACCAAACTAATCAGTTTAAATAAAAAAATTGTTTTTATGCATAAATCAAATGCGATTTATTGTTTGTTATAGTATTATATGACGCATAATGAATCAATATTTGCTTCTTTTTATACACGATGAATCAATATTTACTCTAGTTTCTACGTATTCATTAATTATTACTATTTGTTTAAAAAATATAAAGCATATTAAAGAACAAATTTAAAAACTAGAAACACAAAATCAAAAAACACAATAGTTTGAAAGAAATAAATGAGAGCCTGAAAACTTATATATCGATATGGAGATAGTAAATTAGAGTAACATGTACACAATCTTATATTTAAGTCTTATCATCGTTGATTATAATTTTTTTATTAATTAAAAAGAAAAAACTTGAATGATTTAGACAGGAAAACAGTAAATGTAATACCCCATTGCAGGAGTGGCAGCAAGACCATTGGCTATGAGATTTCTCCTTTCAGGATTGTTGAAGAGTCTTGATGAATCAGAAAGTGAGCAAAACATAAGTGTCGTCACAACAACCAAACCCAACATGTTCCTTCTCTCCATTCTCGAGTACTCTATCTCTTAACACTCAAATAATCAAGAATGAACGAATATGCAAACTTTACCAATGCTCCTATCTAATTATATAGGTGTGTGGGTGGATTCTTAGTAGATAATGTTTTTAACTTTAAGATTTTAAATTTAAATTTTAAGATAAACTTTTTAGATAAATCTTTATAACTATATATTTAAACATTAATGGTTGAAAAAGATAACGGATAAAAAATTTTAACCAACCAATATTTTATCATGTGCCGATAAATCTTTGTTTTATTTATTTTAACTAAATTAAATTAATAATTAATATTTTTGAATATATAAATTATATAATATATTTTTTGTTTTGATGTAGTACGAAATAAAACAGAAACAAGAAAAAACCAACCACATAAGATACCAGCGATAAACTAACTCCCGGAGGGGAGTCTGATAGATATTCAGCTGCTCATTCTTGGTGGTTCCGATCTCTGCAAAGATATTTCCATATTATGATATATAACAAATTTATGTATTTATTTTTTACTAGTGTATGAAAGGACCTTTAACTTTTTATATTTATGTATTTACGATAAATAATTTATATTAAAATATAAATTTATTTTTAATTGTTTATGATTTTTAAAATTAAATTTTGATTTTAAAAAAAGAAAATAATAAAAAGATATAAGAAATTAAGAAATAAAAACATTTTACTTTATGCATTTCATAGACTAAATACTTATTATATATAACTAATAATTGAAATTTATAGTAAATTATATATAAAAATATTTAATATATTAAAATATATAAATAAATTCTTATACATCAATCTTTATATATTCAAAATATTTATGTAAAATAATTTTAAATATAATATATATATTTAAATAAAATATTATATATATATATATAATTTCTTATAAATTTTAATTATATAATTAACATGTCTATGCATTACAAAGACCAAAATACTAATTAAATAGGGAACTTTCTTGTACAATATAACTTTTAAGAACTTTTCTTCAACTTGAGAATTTTTAGGAATTCTTTTAACTATTTATCCACTATTTTTTTTATAAAAAAAGATAGGAAAGCTTACAAAGATAATCAATGAGGATTGAACCTAGGTCTCCGTACTTTTAACTACCCCAACCTCTTCCCACCCAACTATTTATCTACTTTAGTTTTATTTCATAATTAATTTTTAATTAAATTTAAATATTTTAAAAAATATTAATAATTAAAAATTCTTCTACTTTAATATAAATTAGTTATCATAAATATAAAATATAATTTATATATTTAAAAATATATAGTTACACAAATCTTTTAATACAATTCATATTTCCAAACATAATATTTATATAATTTATTATAAATTTTAGTTACATATAATAATAAATATTTAACTTGTGCATTACACAAAGTAAAATACTATTATATTTAAAATTTATATTAATAAATATATTTTGATCTATGTATAAATAAATATTTCTAAATATATAAATTATATTTTAAATTCAAGACAAATAATTTATATAGCAGTACAAGATTATTATTATTTATTGATAATTTAATTAAAAATATTAAATGTTAATTCATATATAAATATTAAATATGATAAATAAAAAAATAAAATTAGATAATAAATTTAAAAATATTTAAAAATATTTTCGTCAAAAAATAACACCTAAAACCACTCAAGATATCATTCAAATTTCATATGTAGGGATTGATTTCTAAAAACGTTTTTGTAAAAAAAAAAAAAAAAAAACAAACAAAAAAAAAAACTTTTAAAAGAACATTTTAACAAGATAACCATTTACCAATAAAAAAATACTAGATAACTATTTTAAACCCACGTTATACGTTATGTTTTATTATTATTATTATTATTATATCCTCTATCAGGCATAATACTTGAATTAAATAAAAATAAATTAGGAAATCTGTCATACATGAAAATTCGTCGTGGTCAACATAGAGATACCACATTTTAACTTAAACAAAAGCCAATTAAAATTATAATGAAAACAAACAACTATCTTAAAACATAATAACAGAAAGAAAATTCCTAACTAAATCATGATGTTACATTCTATCAAAACATAACTCATCTATGAGGACTAAGTCTCATCACCAATATCTTCAATATCATGTTGAAGATTACCTACAAAAACATACAATACAGACAAATACAAACAAGGGGTGAGAGAAACATCTCATTCTAACTCACGGCATAAGATATAGCTGAACAACCAAACACAAACAAGATACACATATATACACTGCATAGATAGATTGACAACAATAACTCATTTCACCCTTTCATGACATAATAATTAAATAATACGTAACATTAAGGTGCATATGTAATGGACACAAACTATATATTATCATGCATGCGGTGCGCCAGTAAAAATATCACACATCACACTTGTGCATTGTCGCTAGCAATACACTAGAGTAGCCTATGAGTATATGCTAGGTCACACCCTCAACGTACTCTCACTAGGAGGACATGCTACTAGGGTTTGGTTGAGATAATTAAGTCGTGTAAAATACATCTCATACACACAAAAGGCGAGACTAGGACTTCCAAACCAAGCTATCCCCAAGGACTGATCCCCAAAATTTTGCACAAGGGGACCTTTAACAGTATATTCCATATCATATCCTTAAAAATACTTTTATGCATATGATGCATGTCAAAAAATTCTATGCATAACAATTCACATTATCTCATTAATTCACACATCACATGTCTTATATATCATATCACATTATCACATCATTTCACTGTCAATTGATCTCGTATCATGTAATCATCGATTGTTCTTAATATAGGAATTAACAATTCAACTACATCAATTAAATTTTATCAATTGTAGTATATCAATTGTTCTCATCTAATTAATTCACATATCACATGCCTCCCTCTTTGATATGACAACACGACTTGTTGAACCTATTGTGCCTACATTCCTCACATTGGTGGAAACTTCTCACTCTACCGATGACATTGCACATTTATCTACTAAGGTTTTAATTGAGACAATACCTCCACAAGTAGACACATCTTTGGCGGAGTTAAACCCTCGAAAGTTAGAAGACTATCTATCGCTTGTGCCCCCTAATTGATGATTTTGAGTCTAAGAACACAAGCTCTATGCATAACAAGTCACATGATCTCATTAATTCACATATCACATGTCTTATTATAATAGCCCAATTTTCACAGATTTCACAGATTGTACGAAGGTATGAAAGCCCAATATGAGTGATTTGGTAGCCCAGAATGGGCCATTCCAAACTACTAAAAAGAGCTATTTTTGGTAGCCCAAAACGGGCCGTTCTAAAATTGGAACGGGTCATTCCAAATCACCAAAATGGCCTATCACTACAAGAAAAATGTTGATTTCCGACGGAAATAGGTAAATCTTCGACGGATTTTTCTTTTTCCGACGGATTTCAATCCATCGGAAAAAGTGGCGTCGAAAAAAAAAATCCGTCGAAAATAATTTTTTTGACGGAAAATTCTGTTGAAAAATTCCGTCAGAAATTTCTGACGGAAATATCTGTCAAAAATATCTCCGACAAAAAAATCCGTCGAAAATTGTTGTCAAAATTTTTGACGGAAAAATCTAGGAATCTAGACTTTATCTGGGTTATAGTGGATAGACTAACAAAGTCTGCCCATTTTATCCCTATCAACATTAGATACCCTTTGTGTAACACCCCATTTTTTATTTCACTTTTTATTTATTTATTTTAATTGAGGGTATTTTGGTAATTTTATAAAGGTGATAGGGGTGATTTAGTAGCTTGGAACGGGCTGTTCCGAAATTGGAACAGGTCGTTCCAAACTACCAAAAGGTATATGATTTAGTAGCTCGGAACGGGCCGTTCCGGAATTGGAACGGGCCGTTCCAAACTACCAAGTTGTGTGTGAGTTAATAGCCCAGAACGGGCCGTTCTCAAGATGGAACGGGCCGTTCCGGACTATTAAATATGCCATTAACCCTAATTGGGAACGGGCTTGGAACGGGGCGTTCTTAAAATTATGGCCGTTGGGGGTAATTAATGCACACCAGAACGGGCCGTTCTGGTTTTGGAACGGGCCGTTCTGGATGTGATTTTTAGCCA